CGCGAATATGTATATATATATATATATATATATATATATATATTCTTGTGTCCTGTGTGCTCATGTGTTCGTCGCAAATTGGCAGGCATAATTCACGTACTTCAAGAGGCGATAATTTCCATATTATCCAGTGACTAATGCGCGTTTAGTGGCAAGCGAGATTTTCCTTTCTTGAACCCTTTCCCGTCCCCGCGCGGCGATTCCGATCTATCGATTGTATCTACTCGCGCGGCAGAATTAATTTTCGCTTGGAATTCGCTCTACATTTCCCAATAACAACCGCATTTCCTTTTACTGATTTTCTCGCAGTCTACGTGATATTTTTAGCGACACGCTACACCACGCGACACCATTAACGCCTCTATCTCAATCCGCTTTTTATCGCTTCTCCGCGGGATCTTACTTGAGTAAATATCTGTCCGAGCGGCACGTTCACCGTCAAGTTAAAAAAGTTATTTGCGATCGGTTTTTAATATTGACGATCGTACGCAAATATGCACAGCATTCGCACGCGGCTCTCACAAGTAGTGTCTCTCCCCGACGGACACTTTGGACACTTCACCGCCTGGTATATACACCTGTATGAGCTAATTTAGAATCTTCGAATACCCGTGTCACGTAACGCGTTAACGGCGATAGCGATCTATCGAACAAGTTCTACGATCATCATATTTCATGGCGAGATTTTACGCGATGCGAGTTATCCGCGCGGTTTGCTGAATAAATTATCCACTTTTAACAGCTAAGTCTAAACTCTCGTTGCGGGTATGTCGCGGTAACATTTTACGTGACCGGTTTAATCAATGTAGCTCTTTTTCGTTCCGATCGCCTCGTCTCCGCAGCGTGCGTTTGAAATCTTCGATAAGAGAGGCGCGTGGGCACTGGACCTGATATACAACGGGGGGGGGGGGGGCGAGGAAAAGAAGCGCCGATAAGACGACTCGACATACTCCTTGTGACGTGTGTTTGCGCCGATCCTACGGATCGATAGGCGATCGCCGGGCGATTTGCATAACTTAATAAACAGGGTGTGCCCATAACCATTATACGATGCTTTATAACAGTGAATTCTGGGAATTTAAATCATATCGAAAAATCTTAACTTCTAATTACAAGTTAATCGAGTCGATAGTATCGTCCTCCGATTTCTATCGCAGATGAATAAATCTATTCCCTGCGATGAAAATGAACTTAAAACGATATTTAGAGGATTTGTATATCCGTCTTTATTTAATTGTAAATTACATTGGTTTATAGTAAAAGTAGCTTTTTGGCGCTATTGGGAGGGCAGTTTTTTTTTTTATAAAAAAGGTTAGTGGTATTTTGAAATTCTGATTAGAAATCGTAAATGTATTGTTTATAAAATGCGTTTTTGATATTTTACTTTAAAGCCTTTTTATGAAGAATTTTATAAATTATGAAAAATTTTTTTTAAATTTTGCTAAGATAGCAATTTTTTAAATTATATCACAAAAAAGATCATTTTTTGCATATTGACCTACAATTATTTTGGAAATCTAACGTGCTGAAAAATGTGGCTTCCGGCATTATTTTCAGCATTCAAAAATCTATAAAAAGTATCTTGACTAATTCAAAAAAATGATTAAAAAAAATATTTTTTGCAAACTAGTGCTATCAAAGAGGAAACAATGAAAATTAAGAATGTAACATTGAGTTGTGTAAAATATCTTGCGCCATTAAATTAAAAAACTAATATAGCATTCTATGAAAAAAAATACATTATAAATATAAATATAAATATAAGATGACACATTACAATTTCACTCGTCCTTTCGATATTTAAATGAAAAAGAATAAATTGCGCGAAATGTTTCTTTCAATTCAACCAGTAGATAAGTATACGATTATTAATCAATTAATTAATTAATGATTGACACGGGTGGACAGTCGAATTAATCATTCGTAAAAATTAATCGCGTTTCAATGAGTAATTCGGCGGCGACACGCGGAGCGACACGCGCCGTGACTTGGCGACTCGAGCCCTCGACCAGACGAATGACAATACAATGCGCGTGGCGGCCTTGTTGTATACGCTCGACGCTCGTATTTTACCAAACAAACATCAAGGCTATACCCACCCGATCTCAAATTAACACCATTAACACCATTTTTCGAAATATTTCACTCGAACGCACCATTATTTGTACTATAATACAAATTTAAACAACGCTCAATAAATAACAAATGGCCTATTACAGTTCCCCTACAGGCCTTTTACGCTTTGTTTGCGTACACATAGCGTTGTCGAAACAATAAATTTTGTTCGACCGAAACACTAATTCACGAAAGCGAACGCTGATGTGCAACGACAGGTCGGTTAATTAGAGCACAAGTCAATTGAAGTAACGTACAATATTTTGTTTCAGCGCACAGTCGTGTTACATTGTACGACATTGTTTTTTCGTAGACTGAGTATGTCGTAGAAGTGGAACGATTGGCGTATGACCTTGATGTTTGTTTGGCAGGCTACGATGTACACAAGGTCGTCGCGCTTTTGTATTATCATTCGCACGGAGAGACTCCAACGGGCAGTTCACGACGTGAGCCGACACCGTATTATTTTCTCGCGAAAAACAATCGCTTTAAATATTTAAAGATATCGTGGAAATTTGCTATAAATATAAATCGCAAGTCATTTAAAACTTAGTCATTCGTTAAATAAGTTATAAATTATCGAGAATACTTATCAAAGTATATATTTTGCATGATTTACTTATGTACTCGCTCGAAGCAATACAATATATATCATAAGAATTGCAAATTGTCGCTTTAATGTTATACATAAATCGAGATTTATACAAATACAAATTGCCTGCGCAATATTTGTTAAAATTATACACGTATGACGTGATATCGAAATCAAATTGTCAATAGTATTTTCCAGTTCTTTATAATCAACATCGACTACGAAACGTGATTTGATTAGTAAGTATAAACAATTTATATTTTGATTTTGTCAATTATACAGCGATAAAAATAAATTTGATGACTATGATCGGAACTTCGTTAAAATCTTCTGCTTGAGTTCCATTTGCTATGTTAATTTACATACATATGTATAATTTAAATGTGTAATTTTGTACAATTTTATCTTTTTTTTGTGATTTTTTTTCATTTTTGCAATTAATACTGTATAAATTATCGCGTATTTAATGCTCAGTCATAATTTAATGTGTTTTCGCGAATGTTGTGTTGCAATAAAGAAGTCTGATGGGAGAAAGAGGAGGAACAAAGAAAAGGAAAACCCTAAGATGTTTTCCATAATAGAGATTTTGGAGCAACTATTTGAGGAATTTTTTGGTAAATATTTCAGTTATTCATTTATTAACCCGGTATCATTTTTTTCTGAAATGCTTTATTTATTGATTGATGATTGATATTTAATCTGTTTTTATCACACATATGTGATGATTTATTGTGTATTCTATATATAGACAAAATAATTTATTAATTATACTAAAAACAAGGTAAGTTTGCAGTCAAAACAAAGTTGTTGATAAATTATTAAAATCACTTTTTTTTTTGTTTCGTTAATTACATTATTAGAAATTATAGCGTCTTTAAAAGCTAACAAATCTACACTTGAATTAGTGAAATCGTTATTCTCTTCCTTAATCTCGGTTTCGTTACCGCATCCGACTAAAATATAGCGCATTTACGTTATGTTCTTTCGCGATTATATGAGGAGGAAGGATTTAGCCGCTAGTTTATATTGAGTCGTTAAGAAAGATAAATGCATCGAAATATAAAATATTCTTTTATTACGAGAGAATTTGTAATTTGCCCCGTATTAATTACATATTTAATATATACTAATTCTTAAAAAATACGATAACGATGCGTTATCGTGATAAAAATGAAATATGTGCAAGTTAAAAAATATACGGAGAGAGACAGCATGGAGAAACAGCATTTAGTGTTGATAAAAATGTGAATATAAAACCATCCCATTTGCAAGTAAAAAGATATAAGCGTGTCAAGATAAGGTGAGTGTCGCTTTATGTCAAGTAGAATTTAATATATGGAAAAATTCGATAATAATTTAGACTCTATTTTACAAAATATCGCTATAATATCATTATCATTATTCTATTACAGTCGACGATATTTTACCAATAATTTTCGTAATAATATTTCCGATTTTCGAAGTGATCGAAATTTTTTAAAGTTAGATTTTTAGCAATTTTTAAGTCTTTTATCACATAGATCGCGTCGCGTCATCAAACAATAGCGATCGATTTGCAACTTGGCGTGTCGGTATCAATGTTAGAGTTCGGACGGATATATGCAGCATCTTATGTAACAGATGTGGTTTCGCGGTGATCGTCCGGAACAGCTGATGCGTAGGAGTGGCCGAGTGAACCAGTTGACAGCGTTGAACTACCGTCCGTCCGTCCGTCCGTCCGTCCGTCCGTCCGTCCGTCCGTTCGTCCGTCCGTTCGTCCGTTCGCCCGTCCATCCGACCGTCCGTCCGTCCGTTCATTCGTCCGTTTTCTTATCTCCTCGTTTCCACTTCGCAACATCTTCGCTTTATCCCCTTCTCCATCCCTTCGTCTTCTTCCACCGGACTTGCTCGCCACACGCGACCGGCACGCACCAGTTAGCCATCTCTCGTATCTGCATGCATGAACTAGTAGCTGTCCTCGTCTGTTTCAGCTCTATTCTCGAGCTATCTCTCGCTTTCGCGATCTGAGCCGTTTTTGTGTCTTTGACCGGTATTCTTTATTTAAATGGGAAAGAAATGATTAGGATTAGCGAGGTTGCTTATTTGCGCTTTAAACAAACAACTTTTCTAATTCTACATTTCCGATCGATGCTAAAATTATCGACAATAATGTATGCGGCAATTAAAAAAATTATGTCAATAAAATAAATCTGCATTTACAGCTCTTTATCCATATTTTGTAGTTTAGAAATAAGTATATATATTTTTACTTTAGTAATGAATATATTTTTAGTCGAGAATAAATGCATTTATTAGTAAATTGCATTTCCGTTAGTATTTCCGCGAACTTGAAAAAAACGACAGCTCGGGCAGAGTTTCAGTGTGAAAGAGAAATAAATAGCGACACTTCCAACGAAAGGATTTCTTTTGTATTCGTAAAATCGAACACGTTGCCATTTCCACTTCGAATAACAAGGAAAAGTAGAAAAGCAAGTCGCGACGACACTAATCTAATGATTTTTCTTAGCGATTTTATTATCCGCAATTTATCACGCAATCGTAACTATTACAAGTAATAATAATTACGAGGCGATTCATTTACGTGCAGCTCATCAGTCTTTAATTTTTTTATTGAACGCCATCTTTGCTCATTAACTCATACATGATTGCTGCTCAAGGGATATCTGTCACTTATAGTTCTTCCGCGATGAAAGCTGCGTTTCTTTCACCATTTTCTTGCTCGTACGACGACCGGTACCACATCGGTCGATCTTACATAGCCGTCCGTAGACCAGTTCCTATTCCGTTTTTTTTCTTTTTTTTTTTTAATTCTTCTTTACCTTCCTCCACTGTTCTTCCTCGCTGCTCTCCCGCCTTCCTTCGTCTTTCTTGTCTCGCTGTACACCGGCGGGCAGCTTCTCGCCTAGCACGGGGAGTTTTCGTTCAGGACGCGTCCAAGCACAATGTCGTTAGTTTTAGATTAGCGTTTTCCTTAGCATTATATATTTATCCGTTAGATCATCTTTGATGCCTAACTGTTACTCATAATGGAACGTGTGAAACGTGGCATTAAGCGAGCAGCCACGTCGCATTACCGTTACACGAATAATATAGATATATCATCGCGGAATGGTCGATGAAGCATGAATTTATAATTCGGGATCTGTCTACGTCGCGCGATTAATCGCGCCGTAACGCGTCGAGGAGCGCTTATGCAAATTAAAGAATAAATGAATTAAACACCGATGGGAACATTTCTCACAGCGGCCGCGCGCGATATTCCGAGCTGAACGCGCGCGTACGCCTCGGCGAGTCGCATTAAGTTAAAGCGGTTAATTCGAATCGTCGCGAAACACGATTTCTCAGTTAGAGATGAATTTGTTACAAGCCCGTGTCGTTACGCCATCGATCCCGCGGTGGAGTCCCCCCCCTCCCCCCGGAGCTCCGGTTTTCTCCCGGAGCGGATGTGGCGCGCGGCTCGCTCGCGCCTTGTTTATTAGCGCTACAACGTTAAACAAATAAAATAACGAAATATATAATTGATTCCGCCGAGAAGACATCGGACGGGAGGGGGAAGGGAGAGGGAAGGGCCGAACAGGTTTCCGCCGCGGAGCAGGCGTGGAATCGCGTCGTGCGCGCGCGCAGCGCGGGGGAGAGGGGCGAGGGAAAGGCTCCTAGAAAACGTTGTTGGTACACCTCTCACGAAGAAGAAGATGCATCGACGACGGCAAACGAGTTCTCGGCGGCGATCCGTTTGCGGTAATCGCCGATGCAAATAATTGTACTTACCGCGCCGAGTACCCGATCATTCTAATATCACATATCGCTGATACCATTTCAGAGTTTATTACCAGTTATGAAGACCTCCCGTCGCTTTTTATTTATTTGCTCTTAGCTCGCGACAAAAGCGATGATGTACCGTTTTTTTTTTTTTTTTCTTTATACATCTACATATTTATCACCGTTGCAAGTAACACGCGGCTAATAACTTCTGCGTCCCTTCCGCGACGGAAAATATAACGTCCGTTTTGATCTTTCCTGGAAATCCGCAGTTTCAACTCGAAACGGCTCATTTAATAGATGAACATCGATATCGGTACATTGTTTAATCGCGGAACTCGTGATTCATTTACGGACGCATAATCGCGGTAACAAAAAAATGTCATGGTGATCGAGTTTGACCAAGAAAATGTGTAAAACTTTTAAATCTACTATAATTCAGTGACCAGAGAGAGAGAATAATAATATCGAAACATAAAAATAATTTAAATCGAGGATATTATATGTATATTATAAATATATGTTTGCTAATTATAGTTATTTATTAGCGAATCAGAAACATGTTATCGAAGCAATTCGTTTCCATGCTAGCTGGTAGCTCACGAAAACATGTAAAATCTTTAAATTTACTATAATTCGGCGAATCATTCAAAGAGAGAGAGAGAGAGAAAGAAAGAAAATAATAACATTGAAATATAAAAATAATCTAAATCGGGAGTGTGATATTGCACGTGCATTACAAATATATGTTTGCTAATTATAGTTATTTATTAGCGAGTCAGGAATATCCTATGAAAATGATTCGCTTCCATGTTACGTGCTCTGGTAACTCGCGAGTTTAAGGTAAAGTCGAACACGGTGGAAGAGCAGAAGAAGAAGAGCGGCAGAAGAGCCGGGATGCTGCCTCGCGAGAGCGAGGTGGGGAGAAGA